TGCCCATCGCTAATTGCCCTGCAGAAGGTGGTGGTGAGGTAACTTCTTTAACTGCCATAGTTCTAAGAGGTAGAGATGCTCACAAGGCAGTTAGGTTTTGTCTAGTCACAGTCCAGGAACGATTATATAGTTCCAAGTCAGCATGGTGAGTGGTTTAGAGGGGAATTTGCAAATGGTGATATTCCCATGCATCTGATGCTCTTACCCGTCTAGTTAGATGTCATGGGTTTTGAAGAGTGTCTAGTGAAGCCTTGGTGAGATATTGCAGTGCATATTGCAGATGGTATACACTGTTCCCACTGTACATTGTTGGTGAAAGGAAACAATGTTGAAGATGGTGGATGGGGCATTAATCAGTTTCCAGTTAGTTGAGTGTTTTAGAGCTACACCCATCCAGGCAAGCGGAGAGTATTCTGTCACACTCCTGTCTTACGCTGTCAAGATGGTGGACAGGCTTTGAGGAGTCAGTATGTGAGTTATTCAATGTGGGCTTGATAGCCAGTGACCTGCTCTTGTAGGCACAGTGTTTATATGGCTGATCCAGTTCAGTTTCTGATCGATTGTAACCCCTAAAATGTTGATAGTGGGGAATTCAGTGATGGTAATGCCACTGAATGCCATTGATAGTTAAATTCTCTCCTACTGGAGATGGTCATTGCCCAATTTTTGTGTGGTGTATGTGTTACCTGCCGCTTATCCATCCAAGTTTTGCTGCATATGGAGATGGACTGCTTCAGTATCCAAGTACCATAAATGGTGCTGAACAATGTACAGTCATCACGTGATGGAGGGAAGGTCATTGATGAAGCAGTTGAAGATGGTTGGGCCTAGGACACTACCCTGAGGAACTCCTGCAGAGATAACATTGTTGACTTGCTCGCCGAACTGACTTGTTCTCGTTCAGACATTTCATCACCATGCTAGGTGACGTCATCAGTGGACCATCTGATGAAACGATGTTATTCTACTCTGCTTGGAATTTATACTGTCTGGTCTGTTATGGTGAGTAGTGTCATTTCCGGTTATGATCTGTATGGGTTTGTAAGTGGGAATGACACTGGTGGTCACACCTACCAATATTGTCATAGATGGATTTATGAGATCAAGAAGATTTTTCCTTCTTGATGGTTCCCTTACCATCTGCTGCGGACCCAGTTTAGAAGCTATGTCCTTTAGATCTTGGCCAGCTCTGTCACTATTGCTACTGTGGAGTCATTCTTGGTGATGAACATTGAAGGTCCCCATCCAAAATATAATTCTGTGCTCTTACCACTCTCTGTACTTCCTCCAAATGGTATTCAACATGGAGGAATATTGATTCATCAGCTAAGGTTGTGCAGTAGGTGATAATCAGTAGGCGATTTCCTTGTCCGTATTTGATCTGGTGCCATGAGACTTCACAGGGTTTGAGTCAATGTAGATGACTCCCGGGCTGCATTCCCTCTTATTTTTCCTCCACTGTGCCAACCTCCAGGGTCCATGCTTGGCGCTGACTTCTGGAACTGGAAGTCAATGCGGCCACATGCTGATTGGCGCAACAATTGCATGGCCATTTAGCCTTGCAGCTTGGAGAGAATACAGTTCCCAGATCAACTCCTTCCCTCCTGTATGCCACCGTGCAGCCACCTCTACTGGGTCTGTCCTGCTTTGGATCTATGACAGAATATTACAAGGATGGTAACACCTGGGACCAGGTCTGTAAGGTATTATTATATCAGCTGTCGTTTGTCTGTTGGACAGCTATTGCAATTTTGGCTCAAGTCCTGCTCACCCATGGATGTTGATCAGGAAGATTTTGCAATTTGCTAAATTTGCAATTGTTGTTTCTGATGCCTAGGTCCATCTAGTTTCATTCCTTTCCTGAGGCTTTCTTTGGTTTGATGCAACTGAGTAGCTTAGTGGACGTTCCAAATGGCAGTTAAGAGTCAACCACATTGCTATGGGTCTGGAGTCACATGTAGACCAGGCCGAACAACGATGACTGATTTGCTTCACTGAAGGCCATTTGCAGATTTTGTTGAAACCCAATTTCAGAATTTGCCATGGTGGGATTTGAATCCATGTCCCCCAAAGTGTCACCCTAAGCTCGTGGATTGCTAGTCCCATAGCAATACCACTACACCAGTGCCTCCTCAGGTGGTATAGGGCTGTGTTGTGCACACATTGGTTGGTGTGTTTCCTACGTTCCAACAGTTCACGATACTCAATATGTCAGGCCCTCCTAAGGTTTTCAATTAAATCAAATTATTGTGGAACAAAATGTTGAAGTAAACACCATACCGTGTTCCCTCCACACATACACCCTTGACTGATGTTGATGCTAGTGCAATATGTTCCAAGTGTGAGGCCAGAAGTAGCTGCAGGGCCCATACTTGGACATACGAGTCAAATAAATACTAAAGGCAATTGAAGTATTAGTCTTCCTTTTACACAGTTGGCTGGCGTGCAGTTAAACCAGAACACAAGCTATCTTCAATGTGGGATAACGGCATTGGTGAGATAAAGAATACCCGCTAGTCCATGTAGAAATATGTGTTTGGCGTAGGAGTGAGAATTTTACAGAAGAATTGTAGCTTGTTCATTTGTTCTCCCTTCTGGGCATTTTGTACTGCCACACATATATCATTCTCCAAGAACTGTGTTTGTTAGAAAAGCCTACAACCGGAAAAGTAAAACTGGGCAATTTGCTTCAACAGCCACAGTGAAGGTGCTGCAGCACAGCAAAGGAAAAGAGAATTTAGGAGCCTTACATTTGCAACAGCAACATCTTTTAACTGTAATCGGCAGCTTTTCAGCTTTCCAGCCTCGTGGAAAATAAATGTAAAAGGTCACACATTCAAATTTCAGAGCAGTTCTGAACTCGGCTTTTAATGCTGCACTGTGGATTGGCATGACGCTGTTGTTTCCATGGCAGCGCCTCTGTCTTCAGAAATTGGAAGACTAATGACCTTAAAGAGAGCGACCGTCAGCTTATAATTATACCTGAAAATGGAGCTGAAAGACTCAAGAGTTCTTTGAACTCCTCTCTGCTTGTAAATGCCCCCAAAGCCAGCCTTCGAGCACAGTGACCTTGGATGGGCTTCTGGCATTTGACAAGATATTATCATCAAAGAATGCAGTGGCTTAATCAAGTCCCTGATCGTTTTCAACTCCAGAATCGGCACAGCTAACTTTCCCAATGTGTGTTTCAGAGACAGTTTCAGCATGAGATACGCTGCATGATGCCAGTGTTCCTGCTGGTTCAATGCATTATTCTTGGAGTGAGGACACTACAGCCGCAATCAAGAAGTGTAACTTGTATTCACCAGTTCACAAGAGACGAATAATTGAACGGGTTGGGTCGGGCTGGGTTTCAGTGCAAAATAGCTCGAATTTACTGTACTTATGATCTTTACAAATGAGAATGTAAGAGATCAGAGCAGGAGTAAACCAAAGAGCCTCTCGAGCCTGATCCTACAATGGTGTTTTGGAACCAGCATTGTCACTAAGCTGCTCAGCTGTGATCGCGCTCAGACCCTCCAAGGTTCTGTGCATGGCAATTGGCATCAGCATGCTGAGCACGGCCTTGACTTCCAATTCAAGAAGTCATTGCCATGCACATACCTCACAGGTCAATTTAACTGGAAAGAAAATTAGATGGAATCCTGCCTGGAACTGAGATGATTAACCATGACAACCATCTTCTACTATCCACTACCTATGTCTCCAACCAGTAGAGAATTCTCCCCATATTCCCATTGGCTGTAGTTTTGCTCAGGCTCCTTGATACCACACTTGGTGAAAAACTGCCTTGATATCAAGGACAGTCATCCTCTTGAGTTTAGCTTTCTTGTCCATGTTTGAACCAAGGCCAGTCACAGAGGTCAGTCGCTGAGGGAACTTGGCAGAACTCAAACAGAGTGTCGGTACGCAGGTATTGCTGAGTAGGTGTCTCTTTAAAGCACTTTGATGCCTCCTTTTTATAACATTGCTGGTGATTGAGAATAGGTTGGTAGGATTTCTTGATGAAAATCTTATATTGATGACCTCTAGACTTTTCGACACAAAAGGCAAAGTTCTCTCTTTATCATTCCAATGCAACATACATAATTTTAAATACCTCTATTCGGTAAATCCTCATCATTCTTTAAGAGAAAAGAGACCCACCTGTCACTCCTTTTCCAATATTATGTCCACGCAATTCTGGTCCTGGTAAATCTCCACTGCGCCTGCTCCACTGCTTCTGTCTCAATTTTTTATAATAATTTCATTCTTCTAAAGTCCAGAAAATATAGACGCATTCTACTCAGTCTCTCGTGATGAGAAAGCCTCCTTATACCCAGAAACAATCCAGTGAACCTTTGATGCTCCCTCTTCAACACAGTTGCCAAAACTGCTTTAGGTACTGAGGCCAAAACTGTATGATAATACTTAGATTTTCAAACTTTTCTGCCCAACCCTTTGCACTAAAGGTTAATACATCATTTGCCTTCATAATTGTTTAATGCCCCATTTCTGAAGAAGGGTCCCAACCCGAAACGTCTTGCTCCTCTGATGCTGCCTGGCCTGCTGTGTTCCTCCAGCTCCACACTGTGTTATCTCTGACTCCAGCATCGGCAGTTCTTACTATCTCTTAATGTACCTTCATCCTTATTTTTACCAAGGTCTCATCTCCCCTTTGGTCTATCTTTTCTAAAGGCTACATTCCCTGCAGTGTTGGACAGAGGCTTTAAATCAATCTTAAAAATAATCTTAAACAAATCTTTAAAATCAATTACATAAGTAGGTGTGACATTTTATTGCTGCCACTGTCTGTATTTTTGAAAACAGTAAATGTGTCATGTTAGCACACCCGAAGTGGTGTGAATCCAGTTATAAAGGTATAGATATTGTGCCATAAGTCTCACCTCCCCGCTTCATGATGAAGGTTCAGTCCAAAGCATTTTTAAAAATGAACATAATGAAATGGATTAAAGATCAATTAAACTTGGCATTCAAAAGGTTCATTTATTTTCCTCCAGGTCACGTCGAATTCCTGCACAAGACAACTCAGAGAACTGTAGCCAGCCATCCCCATCTGAACCTTGGGTCATCACCTATAAACCCTCGACTATTTTGTTCTTTAAGAAAAAACTGAAGAACCAGCATGGAGATCGAAGTCCACTTGTGGGTGACTAACCTACTGCAGCAACAGAGGACTTAACACCCCAGGAATCTCCACCTCTAGTCTTCAACACGGAAACTCCTTTTAAATTATCTTTCAGTTGCAACATCGAGCACTTTGATACCTCAGCGTGGAGGCGGCTTTAATTTCACTGAATTAAGCACTTCTCACCAGACACATGCAATCGCGCATGCTCATTTGGACCACCACAAGACCAGTTGGCTGACATCTCCAAAGGCAAGAGCTCAGTTAAACTAAACGATCTCGGCTTTTGCCTACCGTGTTCTTGCAGCTCAACAAGGGTGAGACTGTCACCAGAATGAGACTGTACATTGTATCGACTGGAATTCTCTTGGGGTCTAATAAGGGAAAGACACTTCATTTGACTATCAGAATCTTCTTGGAAATAGATACAGTTTGAATAGTGAATTCGTTTTTCTGTGGGTGACTCTTCTACTATGTTCATTCAGCCCTCCAAGCCATGCTTGTCTGCACGATCTGGTTGAGCTCTACGGGTGATTTCTTAGCAGTTACGGAAGAGTGAAAACCTTAACGTTTTAAATTATCAAATTTACTTTGCAACCACTGGTAAGGAATAGAAGGAAACATTTTCTGCTTGGCAGAAGTCCACAGTAAAATCCATAGTGAACATCAAGTCCAATTTAGCCTCCAAAGCCTTTCACTACTGTGCAGTATCACAGAGCCATTACTGCAGAGGTGAAGAATCATGCAAAGGAATCAGAAATACACTCACATTTATGACTATCCCAGCAATCTATTGGAAATATGCAACTCAAAGTGGGGTTTTGGAAATTCTAATATGGGAATGCCAAAGTGTGTTAAAATGATGCTATTCATTGAGTGAGCTAGAGATGGTTCTGTTTTGTTGGGGTTTCCTTCATTTAGTCAAAACTAAACCCCTTACGCAAGCCTCTCCTGCCTTTTCAGAAAAGCTTAAGTCCAAAATAAGTATCCTCATGCATGTGCAGGATTTCACTTGTACTTGTTTTTACTTGTTTGCTTTTGTTTCTGTTGTTTATATCTCTGTCAGGTACTCTTCAAGAATACTCAGTTACCTGGTGTGAAGTCGGGCTGTGACCTGATCTCAGTTTTCCACCAGCTCTGCTGTGTAACTAGTGCTAGAGACTGAATTTTTTAAAAAAAAATTGAAACCTCCAGCTAATAGGTGAAGTAATGACAGTCATGATTGGTACATTTACTGTAACAAATGACTATAAACATTATTGATGAAACACTGTTTTCTTTTTGTCCCAAGTTTTACATTAAAATACAAATAGAAAGATTCTCTTTTATACTTATCACCCATTGCATTCTCCATGGAATTACAGTCCTTTTAACAAACAGTTTACTGTTACTTCCACCCTTCAATGAGATCTGATATCGTCAGTCCATTGAGGAGTAACTTTAAGTGACTGTCTCCAAGCATTTGCCTTAGTTTTTTTGATGACTTCCTTGAGCCCCTCCACCACCAGTAGAGCCTGTTCTGATTATTCTTTGTCTCTTTGGCCATGCCAAAATAGATCTCGCGGAAACCGTAGACCACAACAGGGTCCGTCTCTTCAACTGGAGACCATCTCCCTCTCCCATCTGGCATTAGTAAGATGCATAATCAGGTGACCTTTCTGTCTGCTGGCCGCACAGATTCTCTACCTGTCTGAGATTGTACTGATTTGTAAAGAAGCCTGAAACCTGATCTGAAAAATAGATTTCTTAACCCTCTTCCCCATTCCAACATAAAATGCATAATCTTCTTTCCAATTACAAATATCATTTAGCTATCTTTGATCCCAACTCCATTTCATTTTGAAAGTAAACACACGGTCAACAGCACCTTTCACACTGAATCCCTACAATACCTATCTGGGACTTTAGGAAGTGCATTGGAAAGCACTAAGACTGGTGCCATTGTTTCCAAGCATGAATGCCTTGCACTATTTTTTATTATTACAATTATCGAAATCCTCCTTTTTGTCTTTAACAATCAAACAACTAAGGTTTACTGTCAGTTTGACTGCAGAGACATCTACAGAACCGGTCACATTGTTGTGCATCACTGAGGTAGTACACTGAAAATCTAGTCCCACTATTCCTGGAGTTATTATAAAAGATAAGATTTTCAAAACAATGCAGAATTCCCCATTTCACCTGTCTTTTAGACAGAAAGCATGGATCAGGTTTCCGTACCCAATAAAAATGGCTATTTATTTCAAATAAATATACTCTAGTGGAATTACATTTGACTAATTAAGGACCCCAATTCGCTCATAAAATTCCCTTTACACACAAACACACAAATGCAGACAGAAGGAAAACATAGGTGTTATGGGCAGAGAGAAAAACCGAGAAAGCAGTTCAGTGGTCCCTGTTCCCAGGATTTGCTGAGATATTTCTTGTGCTGATCAGAATATTAATTCCTGATCTTCCTTCTCCAGATGCTTTCACCTGATTGCAGGAGGCACAGGGCATCTGGGTCACACTTATAAAGTGTTCACTTTGATTTTTTTATCAATTAAAAACTACGGCTTACAGCAACTGCTGAAGGAAAAATAAATTGGGTTTCTTCAGGCTTAAACTGGTTTTTCTGCAGAGAACAGGGACAGAACTTGAGGTAGAGGAGATCTGATGGCTTCTCACTATTTCATTCATAGCCCTAAGCTACACAACTATCTGATAATGAAACCAGTATCTGAGTTTACCATACATAGATCGTGATTGATAGCTGGTCACAGACCAGCCAGCTATTTATTGCTGGCTGAATCTCCATTTGTAGACAGATCCACTTTGTCTGCAAACTATACTTCAGCTACTGCTTGAACAATCAGCACTTACAATAAGTATCAGGTAACTTACTTTCACAAACTACAGCAACCCCTCCACAATCTTTGCTTTTTAAAACAGTTCTTTTCCCAAGTCAGTCCACAATCAAGAATACAAAATAATAAAAAGCAATGATTTCCTTCATTAACTTTAAAGCTACAGTCCTAAAACATAATAATCTTATAAACCTCGCAATGCTGATGCCTCCCCATTATAGAAATTTTTAAAAATCACAATTTTGATGAGTTTTCTTAAACATTATTAAAATATAACCACATAACATATTTCAAATATTATCAGTTAAATTATATTTAACCTACCACATACAGTACAAGTAACATTCTTTCCATATGCTTTCACATTGTTTACCAAACAGTCCAACATGATGGCGTCATAGTTTTTTAACCTATATCAAATTAAATACATGTAACAGTTAAACTTCTGAACTGGTTTTCATTTCTAAAGAAGGGTCCCGACCCGAAACATCACCTTTCCTGCTCCTCTGATGCTGCCTGGCCTGCTGTGTTCCTCCAGCTCCACACTGTGTTATCTCTGACTCCAGCATTGGCAGTTCTTACTATCTCACAGTAAAATTTAAAGCTCCTTTCCCAAAGAATCTTAAAGTCCTTCCTCTTAGATAGCATAGAAGTGGCTTTGTTGCCAATAGCCCCATCCCATGATGATTAAAGTTCACATTGTTACCATGCGAAATCAAGCTCCCTAAATCATTCCTATTTTCTGTGCTGTCTTTTTCTTTAAGAAGCATCTGTCTTTCAATCTTTCAGTTCCCTTCATTGTCATTAGTGTTCTCTTCGTTGTCACTTTGCTTCTTTCTCTGGCTCCTCTGTGGGTTCACAAAAACAAAGATTTGTGTCTGTAGGTTAATTTATGTGCCTGTGACTCTCTGGGTTAGCTTAGAACTTCAGCATTCCTTATTTTAGGAGCATCATTGTCTTCTAAATAATGCATGATTCCTAAATAAATAGGTTTTAAGTTCTTCAAGTAACAGCTCTCTAAAAGTTTTCTAAATCTTGTTCCAACTTCATCAACCTCCACTATCAAAGACTATTTCTACAGTAATTTCCGAAAGATCTGATTCCGTTTCTTGTTTGTTTTTGTCTGTAGCATTCTTGAATGAGTTTACGGATGCGTTTCAGTAGACCTACCTTTATCATATTCTGCATAGTGTTCATCATAAAGCTTTGAATATTAAAAAAAAGTGCTATTTCTACCAGAACACGTTTTTTTTAATAGTACTACCTTAATTTCTTGTAGGCACTGAAACTTGTAGCAAATGTTTCAAATTATCAGATTTACCTGCTATTCCCTGTCCATGAACATGTTGAATGGAGGGGCAGGTTTGATGGACAAATGGTTTACTCCTGCTCCTTATGTTCAAGGAAGTGAAGCCTTTTTCGTTGGAGTTCAAATTCCCTGACTTCAAAGAGCAGCCTGGTGGCTCAGTGGTTAGCACTGCTGCCTCACAGTGTCAGGGACCTGCATTTGATTCCACTCTCAGGTGACTGTCTATGTGGAGTTTGCACATTCTCCCTGTGTCTGCGTGGGTTTGCTCCAGTTTCCTCCCACAGTCCAAAGATGTGTGGGTTAGGTGGATTGGCTGTGTTAAATTGCCCCATAGCATCCAGAGATGTGCAGGTTAAGTGGGTTAGCCATTGGGAAATGCAGGGATGGGGTGGGTCTGAGTGGGATGCTCTTTAGAGATTCGGTGTGTACTCAGTGGGCTGTTTCCACAGTGCAGGATTCCATGACTTTTTCTTTGCCATTCGAGGCTTTCTGGTTTACGTTTTGAAATTCTAATTCACATTTATTGACTTGTTTTTCTTTTTCTTTCGAGTTCTTTTTCAAGGCTGTTTTTCTTTTTTCTAGCTGCTTCATTTGTGACTGAACGCAAGCCAAATCAGTTTGTGGTTTATATGGACTATCTTTTTTTTCCTTCGAGGTGCCAGTATTGAACGAGCACCTCAATGAAACTCTGCTTTTCTTGTGTCAACTTTTAATTCTATTTCCAGCTTTTCTGCCACTATTTTTTGTGTTAACTTTTGTTAACTGTTGCAAGGCACTCAAAACCAGGCTGCCTTCAGCCTGTTAATTCAAAATTCTCCAGAGGCTCCCCAATTTTGTTACGATCGCCAAAGAGGCTGACAGCTTTTAAAAAGAAAAATCCGGCTAATACCTGAAAGAATAACAAGTCAGGATTTCATATTACAAATCTTTTGCTGTAACAAATATCTAAATCCACTGTTGACTAAACACTATTTTCTACAGGCGACTTTTAAACTAAAGAGAGAAACTTTTCTTTTTATACTTATCAAACACCGCACTCTCCATGGAATTACAGTGCTTTTAACAAACAATCCACAGTTGCTACCGTCAACTAAAAGCAAATTACCGTGGATGCTGGAAATCTGAAGTAAAATTGGCAAACGCTGGAGAAGCTCAGCAGGTGTCTGTGGAGAGAGAAGAATAGGTTTAACTTTTTGAATGCGACATGACTCTTCTTCATTCAACGGACTATCAGACTTAAAATGTCAGCTTTGTTTCTGTCTCCCCAGATGCTGCCAGACCTGCTGAATTTCTCCAGCATTTTCTATTTTTAGACCACAGCTTCCAATAAATTCACGAATTCCGGCTTTGCTGAGTAATAACTTCAGATGAGTGTCTCCAGGCATTTTCCTTAGTTTTTGGAGTTTCTTAATCCCATCATCAACTGTTCCAATGTCTCTTTGACTGTGCCAGAACAAGTGTCCCAGGTTCCACACAAGGTTGTAGAATGCATTTCTCCAACCAGAGACCATCTCCCTCTCAAACCTGGCTCCGGTAACTTGTAAAGTCATGCTCCCTGTTCTTTGCTGACTACACAGAGTGTGGTCTCTAGGGAAACATGTAACCTTATTTCAAAAATGGCTTTCTCTGCCCTCTTGCCGTGCATCTGAGTAAAATGCTAATTAGCTCATTTTGATCAACATTCCTGTAAGAAGGAGTGGGCAGTCTACAACACAACATTTTAACCCCAAATCAATGACATTTTTCTGGGATTTTGGGTCTGCCTATGATAAACTCAGAGACTGGTTCCATTGTCTCCAATTGTCTTTGTCCCTTCTTCTCAGTAAAACTCTCCTGTGATCTCTACCTATCAAATCACCAGTCAGACTACGGGACAGGTAAGTTGACCCCCTTAATTTACACTAAATTTAAAGCCACAATTGCAAAACATAATAATCGTATAATCTTCATGATTGTAGCACTAGACTGTTGATTGAAATGTCAGTGGCTCATACTGATTACTCTTTGATCTTTATAGGAAAGTATTTACTCATCATCATTCCTGTCTCAGTCCATTTCCCCATTACCTAAGTGACGTTAGAAACAATACAAGTACCAAATAACGAAATAACAACAGACCTGCAACAATTAGTTCTGTGGTAAAGCAATTAAGAAAACTAGTAAGGCTAGAAAAGTGATTCAGAGATAGTAGGAACTGCCGATGCTGGAGAATCTGAGATAACAAGAATCTGAGATATCCAGCTCTACACCTTGTTATCTAAGGATAGAAAAGCATCTGGATTCAGTCAGCCTGATTTAAATTGCCAGGACACACTTATCTCCCTGATCTTGTAAGTTTATCTTGAAGATCTAATAGACTACCTCATAAGAGTGTCATACCAAATCATACCAAATATATGTTATAGACAAGGAGATATCCTGTACAATTCAGACTGCCCTTCCCAAATTGTAATGGTCAGACGTTGGTCAGGAGTAAAGGCAGAAGTTGGTCAGGAGTAAAGGCAGTAATGTGACATCAATGTATGCTCAAACCAAGGAGCCTTAGGTAAACACAAAACTGGGTCTGGCACTTCAATAATATTGATAGGTTGTGCTGCCTGTGCCTGTCACTCCTCCTTCAAGAGGACAGCTTGGCCTCTTGAAACAATCCATTAGCAGAGACTCTAAGAGGACTGTGGAGTCGCAACAAGGAAGGAGAGGATTTTGGCAATGGGCGGGGTGGGGTGTTGGGGGGCTGTTGATGGTAGGAGTTTTCATTTGCAGTATTCTGGAGCATTGTGAGCACTCCTGCTTGTCGTGGCTCCCCCAATGTGATTGTTCAGTATTTGTTTTGGCCACATTTGAACTTTTCTGGGCGACTGCTTCCCAATGCAATGCACAGCATGCCTCTCACCCTGCTCTGTGCTGGGTAGTTTAGATAGGAGATGTTAGTGCCCCGCCCTCCCCAAGAAGAGTCTTTGTTGCTGTTTTTCACATCTGCAAACCGGGCACACAAGACCCATGTTCTACCCCTGAGGGCCAAAACTGTTGGCATGCCCAGGGTACATCTGGCTTGTATAAAATGTTTGAAGAGCTGCAGCAACTAATTGAAAGACAACCCAGATTGAATCCTGGAGTGGAGTACTGGAAGGGATATTTTGATGAATTTCTCTTGTATTGAAGATTACTGCTTATTGTGCCGGCTTCAGTGATAGTGTACCAGACAGGACCTGAAAGCAGAAAGCAATGGCAGCTCCTCAGAGCTGAGCTACATGGTAGTATATGGAGCTTTGAACTGCTGAGGCATGAAATTATAGTCTGCCAGACTTAAAGATCGAAAGATAAACCAGAGCTAATAAACCTCAGGCTAAATAACTCAGATATCTGACACAAGCAGCCATTCTATACAATACATCAAAGGCCAAAACAAACGTTACTAATCGCTAAAAATACTCACTTTTGTTGGTATATATAGTGACAGGATTAAGGAAAATATTATCTTCAGCCCAAAGTAATATTTGTTCTGAATAAACTGAAGTTGAACAAGATTTTTTTTAAAAATCATCTCTTTTAAAACAATAACTGGAATACTTTTGCAGCCTATGGTTCTCTACACAGCTTTCAGAGCCACTGTTTAATCAGATTTCCATGCGTGATGCCTTCTTGGCACATCTCTAATCAGAATGGATCTTGCCTGACTCCATCTATATCGGTTTAAAGCCTTGCAGGGTAATTTTGTTTAGGAATGCTCATTCTCAGGACGGTTGAGCCAGAACAATATCTGGCTTGGGTATTGTGAAAAATGTGTAGCATAAGGTGTGAAAAAAATATGAATATTGAAATCAAGAACATAACTTCCTTTATACATGTACTCGAATTCCTAAGTATGAATGAGGGTGTGTCAAACTGTGCAAGTCCCAGCAGATTGTTAGACCAAGCATGGAACGTACATTAAATACAAAGCTATAGTGTGATAAATTGCTTAGTTGAGGTAAGTAAAAACAGGGCCAACACTTTGTTGAGCCAAGTTGAAGCAGGATGTGAATCCTTTAGAGTCCCGTTACTATCTGCTTCCCAGAGTTGGTTTGAATTTTACAAACTGATGTTTAGGCCCACACTTAAAGAAACCACCACTTCACCTCGAGCCAGGTGAGTTGTGCTCAGGCCTCGAAGCAGTCCTTTCTACAGGTATGTCACAGCGGAAATATTTGAGCCTCCAGATTGTGAAGGAACTTTCTGGATTCTTCTTCTGAGTCCTGCATTCAATACAGGGGTTCTCAAGTTTCAACACAGGGCTTCCAGCTCTACTGATGGGTTCCAGTTTTAAATTACACATTAATGATATGTTTCAAAGATTACATTTCTGGAAGGGTTTTTAATTACTTTTGGTAGTTAGGGGCCAGATAATTTTTCAAGCCTCCAGGCATGAATGAGTCTGCATACTTGGTATGTCCTCACACGCACAGCTCGATCTTTCTTCTGTCAATGTAGCCTTTAATTATGGTAATTGCGTAAAGATAATTAAAGTGGGATCGGGTCTTATCTCCTCTGTTGGGGGCAGTCATTTTTCTCTCTTTTAACATTTTGAGCAACCATCAGAATAAAATAATTCTCCTTGTAAGAAACAAGGTAAGAAGAGAATTGTTATTGATTAGATTATTATTTCACATGCTTTAGCTGACATTTTTTTTAACGCTGTCTGCCTCTGCCTTTTCCACACTGCCCATTGCCTCTATGTTGTCTTCCTTCAGTTGGGAGGATGGTGCTACATGGTCTCCAGGCTTTCTCTGGCTTGGCTGCCATTAAGTGATTACTATATACATCGATGTGAGCAAGTAGAAATAAGTACCAACAAAATGAAATATTTAGTCGTGGGGAAGCATTCCAGATGGACTTGTAACAGACCAAGAATTTAGTATAGCAATTCTTATTTGAAAAGAATTTAAGACTGTTAGTGTCCAATTAAATGGCAAGTAATTAAACTGGACCGCTGCTAAATGCAGTCATTTTATCTTTGCTTTATTTTGTGACTCCTCTGATTATGATTCCTTCAATACCCACCTAACCAGCTTTGTGACTGTTTCTAGTGGTGAAGGAGGAGCATTAGGGAATTCTATGTTGCTCATGCTCTGAGCTCCATAGTCATTCTTTCTGCTTTGCGGGATCTGCACAAATCAGAACCTTCAGGCTGTATGGACAAGGCTGATTAACTGGTTCCATGAAGTCTAGTGTATAAGCCATACCT